AAAACAATCGATAGTGGCGACAGTTTTCAACTATCGATACTATCGATATAACTATCGATAGTATCCCAGCTCTACTGTCTACGCTTTTCAAATATTAGATATAAAACACTAGGCAGACAACTACTTTGTAACGCCACTAACAGGCACATTGCGAGTTACCGTAAACGAAGCAGACATATTCATTAGAGAATCAAGGTGTTTCGACCAAACAGCACAGGATACTCATTAATATAACATTTGCGTTGAGAGGTGCGTCAAAACGGTGAAAAAGACACGCTTATAGAAAGTATTGCAACCAACCAACAAATCATCACTGACTGAAAATAGTACTCGGAACGAAGCCACGTAGCAGGTGCCCATGCATCGACCTACATACAGAAATGCCATAGTTTGACCGTGAAGTGTGCATCGCAATCAACGAGTATAATGTGCCCTCATATAATAACCCGGCTACCCTCCGAACAGCATCTGGACTGCGGTACGGCCAAGGGCTTTACAAGAATGTACTTCTCTTAAGTCTCCCATATTGGACTCAAGAAACAAGAGAACTTTGTGAAGATACAATAGGACATTCTATCGAATCGTATTGAATTTCGCAGATAGCTAAACGGCACCGTAAAGGCCTACATAAAGTACCCTGAGCCTTTCTTCGATCCTTTGATATGAGATGGAACTCGCATTGCAAAAATTTGTGCTACCAATAAAACAGGACAGTGCTGGCCCACCTTCATCGAGCAAAGATTTGGCCACCACGTAGGTAAGTAAGTTTCATATGGCGATGATAGATCCGTGGAGATAAACAGCGCTGCGATCGATAAAATGTACTTAGTCTTCAAAATTCTTGAAGCGTGAGATATATGTAGCATCAAGGCCCATAGCGAGGGCATAAATATCATCGGAACTAGCGGCTATGTTGGAGATGTTCCAAGAGTTCAACCCAGAACTCCCAATACACAATAGAAGAAGCCTCAATAAGTATGTAGCAAACATACAGGTAGATTTGCTTTTCAACAACGAACGCTTGGAATCTTCAGAAAGATCAAGGCTTACAAAACCAGCCTACAGTTTCAGTGACCACAAAATGTATAAAAAGAAAAATATTTTCTGAAAGTTTTTTTTTTTTTTTAATTGTGTCAATATGCTTGAAATCCAAAAACGTGGTTTTAGTATATTGGGCTTTATTACTGCACAAACTACGGATTTTTCAAGTGAGGAAAATATATATGCATTTTGCACAACTTCCTAAGAAAAGCTAAAAGGAAAAAAACTAAGAAGGTATACATATCGCATTTCTCACACCAAAAAATTGCACCCTCATATTCTGGGACATCCTAATGTTCATTTATTTCGTATGCATGAAGTTTTTTTATCCATATACATATATATACACTTCCATACATAAATTCAAAATTTAACTCATAAAGGCTGCGCTCTATAGTCCTGTTAAATACTACATAGAAATCAAGTTGAACCATAAAGTTAAACATACATACAAAATTTAATTTTTTATTTTACTACTTTTAAATATTTTGCATTTTGTGTATGTATTTGTGATATTTTATTTATAAAAGCAATGAAATGCCAGCATAGTGGGATTGCTACATATGTAAGTATATGTGATTATAAAACTAAATATTTGGAGAATACATAAATTATGTACATACATAGTTACTATGCGTAATATTTTAAAATTCATTTGATGTGCAAAAGTTTTGAATTGTGCAATAAAACAAAATGCTGAAACTTGTTACCAAAAATTGATGTTCTTTTGCAATACAAAAAAAAAGCAACAAAGTAAATTTTACTAAAAATAAAGAATGATTTTGAATGAAAACAAATGTTTTACATATATTTTATTACTCGTCAGTAAAGTGGCCATAATTTATTAATTTATTAGCCAATGAGTACAAACTTCTTACTTGCTAGGTAGGCTAAGGCGAAATATCCATACCACTACACTGATTTAATTCTGTTAATGTTCTAACCAGTGTGACCAGGTCAGCCGTTTTGAGGCTAAAATTATCAATTATATTTTTGCTCTAAGCTCGGAATTTTTGGGCCTTTTTCTGGCTCTTTTAATGCTGCCCTTTTATAAATTATTTAAATATTTTTAATACTCTGCAGACTGGCCGGAATCGAATTTTTTTAGCCTAAATTCTAAGAGGAAAGTTAGATATCTTTTTCAAAATCGGTATATATGTTATTCATGCTGCTAGCAAGTAAGGGTAAACATTTTTTGTCGATCAGATCATTCGTAGGCCCTGCTTGCACCGATCCCCTATATGTGCTCTATGTATAACGTTGCTTTTGGTCGATAACTTTTTTTAAAACTTTTTATTTAACTTTTTTAAATTTCTTTCGTCTGAAACCCATATTGTGAAACACATTGCAAATAACTATTTGCCGCAATTCAGGTTGCATCTTTTTTTTACACATATGGCAACTCTACTAAGTTAAGTTCGTAAATACAGCATTTCAGAGGATGAGTGAATCGGAGGTTTTTTTTATATGAATTAAAATTAACTACAATGTTTAATATCATTAAAAAAAATTAGCATACCTTGAAGGGTATATACATATCAATGTAATAAATAGTCTTTTTTGTCAAACTTATTTTCATACATGATGATCACTTATAATCATTTATTGAACAGCAAAACCTGCTGAAATTAAGGCTTGAATTTTTGACTACAATTTCTTTAAATACCATCCCTGACCCTTAACCCTAAGTCTCTTATAGTTATATATTTATTTGACAAAAAAAACCGATTTTGGCAATTTTTTTTGTCAATAGCAGAGTATTCCAGTAGTTTTATATTATTCAATAAATGACTATTAGTGACCATCAGGTTAAGGTGCAGGGATGGTATTTTCAGTGATAGTAGCCGAGAGTTGGAAGGTGCCATCACATTTTGTTTTTTGCTAGACCTTCTAAAATATTGCAAAAAATGCGATTTTTTGACACTTTGACGTAGTTTTTCTCAAAATCTGGACCTGATGGATACTTTATACTTACGGATTCGTAATCAGCGCAAAAAAGAATCTCAAAAAATTTTGAATGCAAATTGGTGGATATTTAATATACCTTCATTTGTCCGGGATTTCTATATATTATTTTCCATACAACGAACCACAGTTTTTATGGCATAAAAATAAAAATTTAAAACTTTATTTTAGACAAAGAGTTGTTACAATATTCAATAAACATATAGGTAATTTAATAGTAAATACAGTTGTATGTAAAAGAAAGGCAGTTTTCCTGCAGTGTTATCAGAAAGTTAAGAATACTTTAACATTTGCACACATACGTATGTACATATAAACATGTGCCTAGCTGTGAACTAATTCTAAAAAATATCAGTACACCGCACATGGTCGGTTTCAAACAAATATTGCTCTTCGTACAATGCCATCTGATGTACCAATATAAACCCAATTATTTGCGCCACAAACGATTGCATTCACACAACTTCCGACCTCTACTTCACCTAGGGGTGTTGGTTTTGCCTGATCGAAATTTGTCCAGCCTTTGACTTTGTTGTCGTAGCCACCGCTATAAAGATTTTTCTCGTCACCGCAAATCGCTTGAATGATCAGCTCATGGCAGTCCTGGAAAATAAATACATAAATATGTAAGTATTCCTTTTGTTGGCAAAGTTTACATTAAGCGTAGAATAACTATCAAGACACCGTGAAAAGGATTATTCAGGTAATGGTTGTCCTTAGCAAAGGAATGATGAAACTACAAGGGATTTTTTGGTGCGAAATACATATGTATGTACATTAGGGTAGTCCAAAATGCTTGTTAAAAAGTAAAGTCGAAATTTTTATACTCACACTCCGTATGATAGAAAATATTTAGAGGTCGTTCAAAGCCCTCAAAGTTTTCAATGGAATTTATATGGAAAAAATCACTTTTCGTAGAAAATGCAAATGGGGATAAATAAAAAATCTTGAGTATAAAAAAATGGGGAAATAAGCAATTTGGTATTATTATTGGGAAGTCTCCTGAAGAGAATTAATTTTCGAGAATTCTATACCATTTCTACAAAAAGTTGGTTTTTCCCCTCATATAAAATACATGGAAACCTTTGAGCGCTTTGAGGGACATCTAAATATTTTTTAATTTTAAAATAAAAAATAGGGGTATATATATTTTTTTATATAAAACCATCCTAGGAGGAGAGAGCGTTAAAATTCCGACTTTATTTATTTTGAATCACCCTAATGTACATCTTTGCGTAAGTGACTGGAGTTCTGTAAAATTTCGAAAATACTATCAACAAAATCTGAGCAGGCACATTGAATCAGAACTGAAAAACAAACGTCAGTAACGGGAACTAGGTATGCTGATCAAGGAGACTCAAGTTTTCTCTCCTAACTTACCTGTAAATTCCACACAATCTCGAACTTTTGTAGCGGCAAATTCTTCGCAAACGTCAAACCTTTACCGGTACGATCAGCATATGTGAGGAATGTTCGTTTACCATCCAATACAGGTCCGACTAAAGTCATTGGCGATTTACCCGGAAGCACTGCTTTATTGCTATATTTACCCGATTTACCAGCGCTCATTTCCGATATAACCACATCCAAATCACGCACAGTATAAATAAGAGATTTTTCAGCGGCCAATGATTTTACCTCTTCAACAAGATTATATTTAAATTTGATTTTATCATCTATCCAATTTGTCACAACACCCTTCTCATCGCCCGTGTACAGGGTGTCTCCATCACAATACATCGCCTGAATGGCGTCCTCACAACAGAAAAGCTGTTCAGTCTTATCGTAGGGTGATGCCATAAATTTCACACATCCATCGCAGCTACTGGAGTAGAGTTTACCGTTGCGTGTATTTATTGCCATGGCATATATGTAAGTCTCATGTGCGTCCACGCTCTTAATTAGATTTAGATCATTATCCCAAATCTATAAATGTGAACATTAATTGAAATTACTATATACTAACGATTGGTAGAACATTAACAAATTTATGTACATAGAAACATATTTATACGAGTACGAATNACAGCTACTGGAGTAGAGTTTACCGTTGCGTGTATTTATTGCCATAGCATATAAGTAAGCCTCATGTGCGTCCACGCTCTTAATTAGATTTAGATCATTATCCCAAATCTATAAATGTGAACATTAATTGAAGTTACTATATATTAACCGTTCGTGGAACATTAACAAATTTATGTACATAGAAACATATTTATACGAGTACGAATACAAGTATTTAATTACATGTGAGCATATACGCGAATAAATTAACCGCAGTGTAGGCTTCGTGTGCTAAACTGGTTTCAAACTAATTTGCTCTGCAGATAAACTACATAGTTCGTTTTTTAACTTTTTGAATTGAAACTTCTTTGTTTGTATACCGAAAAAGCGACACACTCGTTGGGATCTAATTCCAAATGAAAAACCAATAGAAGATATTAGGGGATGGTGGGAGTGGTTGGTAAGGTATAAGTTTAAGGCAAGACGAATTTATACAAGGTGGTATCGGTAGAGCAAACACAAAAATTACAATAACAAACAATACGCACAATGATCTTGAAAATCGCCACAAATGTACAACAAACACATTTTTTTTACATTTAGAAGTACCGCGGTAAAAATGTTTTTTTTTCTGCCAAGATCACCTTGCTTAAATTCGTCTTGGATTAGGGCAAGGATTAAGATCGCGGTTGCCACTTCATCAAAATTTTGTGGTGCTTAAGAAAAACGGGAAAACATAAAACATGGACCATTATCCTTTCTAAGACGATGAATTTTTTAATTTCTCTAGCCTACTGTATCAAAATATGAGTTTTCATAAAAAAGGTGGACTTAGCAACTTTTCACTCTAAGCTAGCGATATGTATTCCTATGTCAGACGAAAAAGATTTAAGAAGATTTTAGTTTGATTATACTTTTGATAAGGGTTGCCACCTATTTGAAAGGTCGAGGTAGTTCTATGAAAGTTTTAGTTGGAAAATAATTTTGTTGTGGGTTGCAACCTATTTGAAAAGCCAAATCTATCTTTCTATTTTTTATGCAGATCTAATGATCTGCACCGTTCGATCGAATTTCAAAAATAAATTGGGTGACAAATTTTTTGAATTTAGAACTTTCTTGATTTAAATCAGAAACAATTGGACGGTTTTAGATGGAATTTAGCATAAGGATCGCTTATAACCGTGACTAACAATTGGAACAGTAATTTGGTTTTTCTAAGGTTTTTTAAATGTTAAATTCCATTTAGGTGTTTAGCGTCATGCGCGTTCACTAGTATTATAGTAATACGGGAAATAGAGAAAGAAGTTTCACTTCAAGTGCAAGTGGAATTTTTAACATAGCGATGTTTTGTAACATATGAAGATTTGGATAAATAAGAGGCTAATAACATTATAACAAAACATAAGATAGCATTAACCGTCTGTACCACCTAAAGTAGTTTTCTAAGTTCATTAGAAAATGGACACTTTGAAAATTTATAAATAAGTATGATAGCGACTTTTGCAAGAGTAGTTAATATTTGATAATATTTCTTCAGAATATAGAAAGATTTTGAACTATGTTGTTAGTGGACATGAAACTATTTTAAATACTGGTACGCTACCCACCAAAAACTAAAAATCGAAAAAATTTTACATTACGCAATTTGCAAATGGACTACTCATGTATATAAGTGGGTTGACAGCTTTTAATTCGGGCAGCAAAAATAAAAGTATGTAATTTTCAAAGCTTGACTTTGAGTTCGCGCTTTTTTCTTCATTTCACCCAAAATAGCTGCGCATGAAGACAAATTATGGACAAGTAAATTTTATTTGATTTTTTGATAATAAACAACATGTAATTTTCAAAGCTCGACTTTGAGATTGTGTTTTTTGCTTTTTTTTCTTCATGTGTTGTTTATTATAAAAAAAAAAATAATAAATAAAATTTACTTGTCCATAATTTGTCATCATGCGCCGTTTTTTTTTTGGGTAAAATAAAGAAAAAAGCCCGAACCAAAGTCAAGCTTTGAAAATTACATGTTTTTACTTTTGCTACACGAATTAAAATCTGTCAACTATTATTTTCTTATGGGAGACGAGGGAAATAAAATATAAATATTCTCCGTTCTCACTCACTCGCTTTAGCGAAATGTAAAATTTGTCTATTGTCTAAATATTTTCTTCTAACTTCTAACAACTTCTAACAAGCTGTATGTATTAGAGGACAGTCTAATTAGTGCAAAGTTCAAGAATAATTTTGACATGTCCCATTACTCTTTTCCTTCTCACACCAGTCTTTACATGTACTCCCGAAAACAGTAATACTTGAAATTTTATAAAATGAATAAGTTGTGTGAGTTTTCTACCAAAACCCCTCGAAAATCCCAACAAACCAACCAACCTACCAAAAGCCTTATTTTAAGAAATGAAGCTACCAATTTTAGTCCAATTGGACTGTCACGGCAACACTGCTATCAATTATACCATTGGAAGCTCAAGTAAATGTGTAATATTATCACTACAGACGTAAAACATCTTTAAATAGTAGCTCAAGTAATTTTCTCTTTTCTGCATAGATTTCCCGATTTGAATCAACTTTCTTGGTTGAGTCGCGCATCCGTTCAGCACTAGACAATTTTCCTGCAGAATAAGCAAACGCATATGCATACATATTTATCTAGGAGAGTGCTAACACATCGCACACCATCTTCAAAAGAGGCACAACTCAAAATTCAGACCCGAAACACAACATCTTCAAGATGGTACAAGGCAGGTACAACATTTACATAAATTGGAGATAAATCCTACGAATTTATTTATGCAAAATGATCGATCTAAACTTTTTTCTGAGTTATGCCTCTCTTGATGATTGATGGTGTGCGATATGTACACTTAAATATATAAATGCATATCGTCGATGTTTTTGCAAAACCGCCCACCGCCCTACTGCAAAGCCGCCTATCTTACGGCACTCAAATTTTACAGGAGAGCTTCTTTGAAAGCATTGCCGTGATAGGCGGTATTTTCTCTAGCTATTATTTTACAAATCTGTCTTTTTAATAACGATTTTTATGCGTAAATCTCGATGCCTGGAGTTAAGGGTTACCAAATCTCATTTTTGCCACAACGGCGATCTAGGCGGTTTTGCAACTGGTCGATGGGCGGTTTTGCAAAAACATCGGCGATATGTTTATATATTTTAGTATATTTTCTGAAGTATTTGGTGATTGTCTGTTTTTTTTTTTTTTTTGAGTACGGTAGCTAGGGTGAACTTTATACGGAATTACATTGTCCATTTTGTTACATTTATGGGCCATTTCGTGCTTTCATCCAAACAGTAAAGTATGTGATTGCACCGTGTCAAATTTTGTACACATATATGTATATACATATGTATGTCTGTATGTATGTATTTACTTTTTGCCATTGTGTTTTTTTTTTACTTTTTCCCAATTCTCCCAAATCTATTAAACTTTATTTAATTGCATATATACTAACTTTGATTTTACCATCGGCGCCGCCGGAGAACACTTGATTATTGTGGTAGGCCAGACAGGTGATATCACCCTCGTGCTTCTCCGTTGACAATTTATCCACTTTTCCCATTATACACGTATGTTTTTATTACCAAATGGCAAGAACTTTTCTGTGTAATACGTGTTTTTGTATTTATTTTACTCTTAAAAGATTTTTATTTGCCGCTCTTTAGTCCGCTGCTTTCAATTAAATCTTAACAATTTACAGTGGAAATACTTGTATTCGCAGTTATTTATAGGCAACAATTTTCGCTTCTCTTATGTGCAAAAAATATTGCTATGGAAAATTATTTTCTACTCTCAAAACTTCCGGAAGATTCGCGTGCCATCAGAAGCAGAAATTAAAACACGACTGATACATTAATTTCTCGAAGGGCTATAAAATCTACTGAGCGAAGAGAAGAGCATTTTCTAAATTTAGCCTAATTCAAAAATAAATTGATTTCGTTGGTTACAAGAATGGCACAACACAGAATCGCTTGATTTATAGCTTCAAATACTATAAAAACTGAACT